TTGGGGTGGGGGCAGCACAGCTTGATATGAAGCAGAGATTCAATAATGTGTTGTGGGGTTGCTCCATCCCGGGACAAGGGAGGAAGGGGAGTTCAGAAAGACAGACTTCTCTGTCTCCCAGGCTCTTTCCACACAAGGCAGACAGATGTTAGAGTATGGCTGGTCTTTTCCTACTTGAAGTGACTGGCGAGGGTGGCTAGAGGGAGGTGGACAGTTAGTTCTAGGTACTAGTGGCCCGATCTGCTCTCTCTCCCCTCTGCCCCCATTAGCCTCCTTTTGTGATGGGGGAACCTGTTCTGCCTTCCCTGTCTCTCAGTGGGAAAACTGTTCTCATACAGAGGACTTTCTGCCTCTGGAAAACAAAAGAGTCTGGATGTGACCATGTTTTCCTGGAAACTAAGGCAGTCCAGTTTCTGGATCTGCAGCCTCTAACTTCTTGTCCAGAGGCTGTGGTCTGTCTGGGACCCTCAGACTTGCAATCTCAACAAATGCCAAATGCTTGCTGTTACAGCCCCCTGGGAAGCCTCCCAGGCATGGTCCAGTGCCTGCCATGCCTCTTAGCCCAATCTCTGACTGTTGATTTGTGCAAGTTTGGTCTATAAGCAGTCTAGGGCTTTGCAACCTTTCTTGACACCTCTGTCCCAGAGTACTGAAGGGAGGGTTCCTGTTCAAGGATGCAGACCTGGTGGGAGGTTTCTCTGTCTAGGGGCCCCGTAGGTTAGGTTATGGGGTTCTGGGAAGTGAGGCTTCCGTTTTCTCCATAGGTAGGTAAGGTAGATATCCCCTCTACCGGCCCGAGGATGCCTCAATACACAATGGCCTCATTGTTCTCTCTTGACATGGACACAAATGACAAGGTGGAGACCAGTGCCCCTGGAAGAGAAAGATGGGCTACATCCTGGGGAGGCAGGGGGCCCTCATATGTAGCCACATGACCATGGCACAGGCGAAAGGAGGGGTCCAGACAGGGAGAGCAGGAAGAGGTGGTGCACACTGGTCTGTGGACACAGGGAGACCAGGGGTGGAGAAGAAATAGGGAGAGATGGGGAGAGAAGACAGAGTGAAAGAAGGAAAGGGGGAGGAGCAGGAAGGGAGAGAGGGAATGGGGAAGAGGGAGGAGGGGGAGAATGCTTGGAGGTGTGTGTTCAGGGAAGTCCGTGAATGCGGAGGTGGAGTAAAGTGGAATTTAAGTGTCTCCCCACAAACTGACGCTGAAAACCCACTTCCTTTGCCCCTATAGGTGGGAGACTGAGACCCAGGAAGGATGGAGGCTCACCCCAGGGTATACTGTGCATGGACATTTTAGGATTGGTTCTAGCTGCCCAGGAGTTGACCCTGGGCTGGGAAAACAGGATCACCTCTCACTGGAACCTTAGGAGCCCTGGAGGTCAGCATTTGAGCATATGAGGAGGAATCACCATGCGCCCATCCATCAGACTGCCTATGCTCGTACAAAGTAAAGATGAAAACCCCTCCCTTCGGAGACCGCTGCAGGGAGATCTAGACTGAGTAGCATGGCGTTGCGCAGCTGGTGGTCAGGGGTGATGTCATCAGCCATCCAGGGAAAGCAGGAGTCTTCTCACTGGGTCATCTCTGTCCTGTGTTCCTGACTGGGACCCCAAACTCTAGCTGCTTAGGTTTAGGATTCCTGCTCTGCTAGGAGGTAAGTTATTTCAGGTCTTCAAGCCTCTATTTCCCCATGTGTAACACAAGGATAGCCCCAAGTCTCCATCTCTGGGCATGGTAAGTAAATTGGGCACCAGTGCTAGACATCAGGACTTAGGGTGCGAGAGGAGACACACAGGCACTGGGGTGGTCCAGCCACAGACTCAGGTGCACGACCCCGCCCTTGCCTTCCCTTCCTTTGGCCATTGTCGGCCATGACATCTGGTGGTGATCTCTGCATAGGACCAATCACAGCTCTGACATGCTCTCAGACACCTGCTCGCACCTCCTCCACACCTCACCTCTCCCTGGTGCCCTGGTGCTCTCCCGGGCTGTTGTGACCCAGTCAGCTGCTTCTTGAATGTCTCAAAGACAGTACATTCCCCCACTGTGTGCAGCCATTTCCCTTCTGCAATTCCTGGTCCCTTGTTATCTCCTCTCCCCCTTGTCAATTTAGTGCCCAAGGCCACTTGACATGGGAACCCTCCTCTACTCCCAAAGCATCTTCTCCTCCAAACGGCTGTTGCAGTGTTCTTACCCCTCCCCTTTCTACCTGAGACTGAGAGGGCCTCAGCTTACCGCCTCTCTGCTCACAATCTTGCCCAGGCTCCATCCTCCTATACCTGCAATAAAGCCCTTTGCAGTGCTGTGCATCTTCAGACCTCCAAGACCCTCTCTGATCTTAATAGTTTTTGTCCGATTATGTTCTAAATGTTCCATAGTTCCAAAGCCCTAAGCGCATCCCATCTGCAGGCCTCCTGCTATTTTCTGACCGGAAACACCTTCCTTTACTCATCATATATACCCACCCGCTGAGTCGAACCTGTGGTTCAGAGGGCTGAGTCCTCACTGATCCTCCAGACCGGAGGCTTGGCTCTTCTCAGGTCTTTTTTTTTTTTTTTTTTTTTTTTTTTTTCAAACTGAACTGTCGCTCCTGGAGATGGTGCTGTCCTGAGGCTGCAGGAGGGTCATGGCTTCCTGCCTGGCCTGGTGCACAGGAGCTAGTAGCTAGCTGTGGTCCACCTCTGGGCTCTGCAACCTGGGCCTGAAAACGGCTGGGTCTTTGGGGACTGGCAGGAGTGGGATTGTGGGTAGTAGGTTCTCCTGGGGAGTCTGGCACGTGGCCGTGATTGGGTTCTGTGGCAGGTTTTCTGTGCTCAGCTAACAGGCCACAGGCACTTCTGTAGACGCTGCCATCACCACAGGGTGTTCCCTATCCTCGAGCAGTTTCTGCCCCTGAGAAGCCTGGCTTTGGAGAAGGGACGGGGTGAGGTGAGTGTTTTCTTCCCTTAGGCTTTTCACCGAGTGGTTTTCTCCCGTCCTTTCTCAGAAAGGATCCCATTGAAAAGGCTGCCAGGAGGAAGTGGTCTGTGGTGCCGGGCTGGCCAGAGGTAGGAGGAACATCAATCAGGTATTTCCACGGCTGTCACATGCCTCCTCTAGCCAGCGTGACTGCACCCTCCCAACTCCAGGTGTCTCTCTAAGCCAACACCCCACCCCCAGCTCAACGTTCCCCGGGAGCTAAGGTGCAGGCAGCGCATTGGTTCAAGGAAGAAAATTGTTCACTAGACACCAAGGACTAATTGCCACCACATTTACCAGCCTCGGTGGTACCCTGAACTTTTTTTCAGCTTCTCATTTGATTGACAGGAGGGGTCTGGTATGTGGTGTCCCTGGCCCTCCTTCTTCCCATAATCCCCTTGTTTTTCCTGAAGCAGGGCAGTCATCACTCTGTATTCATCTGTCTGCAATTGCCAGGGTAGCCTCAATACAGTACAGTCACTGTAACTGGAACATAGTAGGTGTTCAACAAATTGGTTATATAATGCTGTGCTGGGCTCTGCTCTGGAGCTGAGAGTCAGGCACTGCCCTAGGTGGGCTTTCAGGTGGGTGGAGGGAGCAGGGCCAGAGTAAGAGCTGAGGCAGAGCTTCCTCAGGCTTAGTCACTCCGCTTGGCCCTGCGTGGCTCTCAGCCTCAGCGCTTCTGAACTAGGTACCTGATCTCCATTGCCCAACTTCATGGAGGTCACATCCCAAAAACACCATCTTGTTAGTTACTCCCGGGAGGGGGCTTCAAGTCACTCCTTCTCTTGCATGCCTCGTGGGCCAGGGTCCTCACTATCTACCGGTGAGATCTGTTTTAATCTCAGGTGGAGGGGAAACCTTCCTCAGCGGCTCCTCCACCTCAGTGGACTTCCTTTTATTAAGGAGCATCCCGTCCTCGCTTTCTCAGAGCAGGCTACTCCTTGCTTCTGGGGAGCACAGCCTGGCCCCAGTGTGGGCGCTGCTTCCTGGTCTCAAGTACCTATACGGTGACCCGTGCCCTCAGAGAGCAGGGGCATACCTGTGGCGATGGAGGAGATGGGTCAGGCAGACGCAGCACCGGCAGGATGTAAAGGGTGCAAACGGCTTGCCGTGGTCTCAGCAGTACCCCGGTAGCAGGTAGGGCTGGACAGGAGGGTGTCTGGGTGGGTCAGCCATGGCTACCTACAACCTCCCAGAGTTCAGCACCGGTTCCTATCGGACCTTCCGTTTGTGTTGACATGGGCACACACACAACCACAACCCCCAGATTGAGTGACCCCCCCCCCCCAAGCTGCCCTGTTCCTATAGTGCGTGGCCTTCACGGAGCTTGCCAGCAGAAAGGAAGCTGCAGGCTGCTCTTCCTGGGAGGTGGGGGTGTGGTCCTGATTCAAAACCACCGTTACCTGAGGTTACGCAGAGATGCTGCTGCCTCCCAGGGCTCCAGACTCAGAAGCCCAGTGAGCAAGTCCCAGAGATTAGGGAAAGGACACCCATCCCCTCTGACCTCCCAGAGTCTAAGCTCAGTATGTTCCCTGACATACGTGCTTACCTTATTTCCCTACCTCCTTCTGATGCTCTCCTCTCCAGTGCTAGGGTCTGATTACCTTAGTCACAACGGGAATACAGGATTGGGGCCTTAACATCTTTCTATATGCTGCGTCGCCTTAGAGATGGGAGAGTATTGTGTCTGCTCAGACAATGCTCTGTTCAAACGAAGCCCTAATGGGCGAACTTCAGGCACTTGAGCAAATAGTGGAGAGGACGGTTGCCCCCAAGGAGAAGTATTTCTGACTCTCTTGTTCGCCTCCTTCCAAACGTGCCGCATAAGAACTCTGGGCAAAGCAGCGCCTAACCGGGGTTGGAAGTACCATAGGGTTAGGGACAGAAGGTGAGCCCCCACATCTACAGAGTCGCCAAGGTAATTGCTATAATGGTGTGAAGGTACTCGGTAGTTGTCCGATTCAGGGTCCAGAGCCCTTCCCTCTTCCTGAATCGCCTTTCTGGGAAGCCCGCAAGCGAGGGGTACTCACGGGTCGTGTTGTACTTGATGCCATTGAAGTACTCGGGGCATGGTCTCTCCACTAGGGCTCCGGGCGTGCTCTGGGGCCAGCAGGTCCCGATCTGGTCCAAGGTCGTGTTGCAGTAGGAATAGGTACCTGGTGACAGAAGGGAGCGCAGCGGGGTTCAGAAGGATAGCCCGGGAGCGGAGCGGGGTGCCGCTCGCTCAGACCCACCGGAGAGAGAACCCACGTGTGGCTAGCCCGCTCGCCTCCTGCCTACCCTCGGCGTCCGTGGGCACCCCCCAGCCGTCCAGGATCAGCTCTTCGGCCAGCGCCAGGCTGCAGTTGGCCTCCAACAGGCTGTGGAACAGCGCCGCGTCCATTGCGCCCAGGAGCCGCGCGCGGAGGGAGTGGGAGTGCGCGCCCCGCGTGGCTGCGAGGGAGCGGGAGCGACGAGGAGCGGCCAGAGAGCGCAGCGTCCAGGTCCCTGCCCTCCCACCCCGGACCAGCCGGGCAGCTCCGGGTCGCCGCAACCAATCACGCCTAGCCGCGGAGCTAGGACCTCCGCCAAGACGATCTGCCGGGCTCGAGAAGCTGCGGGGCCGCCCGCTAGACCACGGCCAATGGCGGCGTCGGGGGCGGGGCTATGTCTCCTGCCCCGTCCGGCAGGCGGCCCCCGATGCGCTCCCTCTCATCCCGACAAGTCGCCAAGTCGCGAGAATACCGGCGGGGCTGGCTACCTACGATCTGGAGTGGCTGACTATCTCGTCTGAAGATCGAGGGTCGCAGGTCCCCGGGCTGCAGGAGACCCACGACAACATCCTACACCCGTAGCCGGCTAGGTAGGGGGCAAGTAGTCAGTCCAGGAGCAAATTTGCTCCCTAGGGAAGGAAATGGATTGAAGGGGCCAGGGAGGGTAGCAGAGAGGTCACCGGAGAGGGTCTAACAGAGGTGGAGAAAACGAACGGAGCAGGTAGGCAGTACTCAGCGGGAGCTAGGAACCAGGAGCAACATGAGGTTTCACGCTGAAGATGGGGTTATGTGAAGATGGGGTTATGTAGGAAGAGATTAATTAGAATTATCTGGAAGACTTGAAGGTCTTAATGTCCTGGGCACCAGATAGAGCAAGTGAGAAGTGAAAACTTGTCTCCCTTCCTTGTGGATTATGCAGGGCCATCTGAGGAGGGGAGAAAAACTGCCTCAGAGTGCTCAGGATGAACCTGTGGGTGGCCTACAGCTCATGCCTGTGGCGTGGGCCTAGGTTCTGCACAGGTGTGTCTTGCTCTCAGTCTAGGTTCTGCACAGGTGTGTCTTGCTCTCAGTCTAGGTTCTGCACAGGTGTGTCTTGCTCTCAGTCGAGGTTCTGCACAGGTGTGTCTTGCTCTCAGTCTAGGTTCTGCACAGGTGTGTCTTGCTCTCAGTCTAGGTTCTGCACAGGTGTGTCTTGCTCTCAGTCTAGGTTCTGCACAGGTGTGTCTTGCTCTCAGTCTAGGTTCTGCACAGGTGTGTCTTGCTCTCAGTCTAGGTTCTGCACAGGTGTGTCTTGCTCTCAGTCTAGGTTCTGCACAGGTGTGTCTTGCTCTCAGTCTAGGTTCTGCACAGGTGTGTCTTGCTCTCAGTCTAGGTTCTGCACAGGTGTGTCTTGCTCTCAGTCTAGGTTCTGCACAGGTGTGTCTTGCTCTCAGTCTAGGTTCTGCACAGGTGTGTCTTGCTCTCAGTCTAGGTTCTGCACAGGTGTGTCTTGCTCTCAGTCTAGGTTCTGCACAGGTGTGTCTTGCTCTCAGTCTAGGTTCTGCACAGGTGTGTCTTGCTCTCAGTCTAGGTTCTGCACAGGTGTGTCTTGCTCTCAGTCTAGGTTCTGCTTTGCCTCTCCTCTGCCATGTTGCTTGAGGCAAGACTCTTGCCTTCTTGGGTTTTCTCCATCAGTGGCACGTTCTCTGGGATCCTCCACAGCCCATGCAGTCTGTGGTTTTAGAGGCTCTAGAACCATTCCCCTTGCCCCTGCACCCTCCACCGGGAGCGAGGCGCTGGCAAAGGGCAAAGTCGCCCTGAAGAGGCCAGTGCTCCAGGTGGAGGGAGGCAGGGAGCAGACCAGTGCCTTTGTACAATCTTCCTAGCCTCCACAGTAATGCTGTTGTCACTCATAAGCAGGGCAAGTGAGTTTGTGAGAGAGTGAGTGAGCAGTGAGACCAGGGGGAGCCCTGGAATCTCGCCAGGACCTGCCAACTGGCAGGGAGACCTGCAGAGCTACCAGATAGATCTACCCTCTGCCTCCTGAATGGACTGTTAGGTTCCTGGCTCCGCTCCAGGCAGAGCCTTAGGCCACAGCATGACTGACTGGGTCAGTCCTCTCAGGGATGTAGGTAGTCTCCTACACAAGCAAAGGATGGCCGTGTACACAGCCGCACAGTTCTGTACACAGCATCATCACAGCCCTGCACACAGACAGCAGCATCACAGCCCTGCACACAGCAGCATCACAGCCCTGCACACAGCAGCATCACAGCCCTGCACACAGCATCATCACAGCCCTGCACACAGCATCATCACAGCCCTGCACACAGCATCACAGCCCTGCACACAGCAGCATCACAGCCCTGCACACAGCAGCATCATCACAGCCCTGCACACAGCATCATCACAGCCCTGCACACAGCATCACAGCCCTGCACACAGCATCATCACAGCCCTGCACACAGCATCATCACAGCCCTGCACACAGCATCATCACAGCCCTGCACACAGCATCATCACAGCCCTGCACACAGCATCATCACAGCCCTGCACACAGCATCATCACAGCCCTGCACACAGCATCATCACAGCCCTGCACACAGCATCATCACAGCCCTGCACACAGACAGCAGCATCACAGCCCTGCACACAGCATCATCACAGCCCTGCACACAGACAGCATCATCACAGCCCTGCACACAGCATCATCACAGCCCTGCACACAGACAGCATCATCACAGCCCTGCACACAGCAGCATCACAGCCCTGCACACAGACAGCAGCATCACAGCCCTGCACACAGCATCATCACAGCCCTGCACACAGCATCATCACAGCCCTGCACACAGCATCATCACAGCCCTGCACACAGCATCATCACAGCCCTGCACACAGACAGCAGCATCACAGCCCTGCACACAGCATCATCACAGCCCTGCACACAGCATCATCACAGCCCTGCACACAGACAGCAGCATCACAGCCCTGCACACAGACAGCAGCATCACAGCCCTGCAGACAGCATCATCACAGCCCTGCACACAGCATCATCACAGCCCTGCACACAGCATCATCACAGCCCTGCACACAGCATCACAGCCCTGCACACAGCAGCATCACAGCCCTGCACACAGCATCATCACAGCCCTGCACACAGACAGCAGCATCACAGCCCTGCACACAGACAGCAGCATCACAGCCCTGCACACAGCATCATCACAGCCCTGCACACAGCATCATCACAGCCCTGCACACAGCATCATCACAGCCCTGCACACAGCATCATCACAGCCCTGCACACAGACAGCAGCATCACAGCCCTGCACACAGCATCATCACAGCCCTGCATAGCATCATCACAGCCCTGCACACAGCATCATCACAGCCCTGCACACAGACAGCAGCATCACAGCCCTGCACACAGCATCATCACAGCCCTGCACACAGCATCATCACAGCCCTGCACAGCATCATCACAGCCCTGCACACAGACAGCAGCATCACAGCCCTGCACACAGACAGCAGCATCACAGCCCTGCACACAGACAGCAGCATCACAGCCCTGCACACAGCATCACAGCCCTGCACAGCATCATCACAGCCCTGCACACAGACAGCATCATCACAGCCCTGCACACAGCATCATCACAGCCCTGCACACAGCAGCATCACAGCCCTGCACACAGCATCATCACAGCCCTGCACACAGCATCATCACAGCCCTGCACACAGCATCACAGCCCTGCACACAGCATCATCACAGCCCTGCACACAGCATCATCACAGCCCTGCACACAGCATCATCACAGCCCTGCACACAGCATCACAGCCCTGCACACAGCATCATCACAGCCCTGCACACAGCATCATCACAGCCCTGCACACAGCATCACAGCCCTGCACACAGCAGCATCACAGCCCTGCACACAGCATCATCACAGCCCTGCACACAGCAGCATCACAGCCCTGCACACAGCAGCATCACAGCCCTGCACACAGCATCATCACAGCCCTGCACACAGCATCATCACAGCCCTGCACACAGCATCATCACAGCCCTGCACACAGCATCATCACAGCCCTGCACACAGCATCATCACAGCCCTGCACACAGACAGCAGCATCACAGCCCTGCACACAGCATCATCACAGCCCTGCACACAGCATCATCACAGCCCTGCACACAGCATCATCACAGCCCTGCACACAGCATCATCACAGCCCTGCACACAGACAGCAGCATCACAGCCCTGCACACAGCATCATCACAGCCATGTGCACAGCATGACAGTACAGACAAGGAGGAAACCAAGCCAAACTTAAAGGATAACTTGGTTGTCATCGGAGTTAAGAAGACACACACCATATTACGGAGGTGGAGAGCACCATTGACAAGCTGCTTTACATGCAGAATGGGATTGACCTAGGTGACCTGCATTGCTTAACAGAGTTTCTTCCATAGAGTGACCAGTTCCATGTCAGAGCCAAAAGACACTGTTTAATTTAATTTTGCGAACATCTAAGATCTCTAGGATCCTAGGATAAGGTACCATTTCTTCATAATCTCATATTTACAGGCACTACTTTCCATCATTCAAGTTGTAACATAAGGAAACCAATTGACTTCACAGCTCACTTTAATGCCAGCAAATGGGTAAATGAAGAAGAAATTGAAAAGAGCACTTTCCTTAGATTAGTTTTGTTTACTAAAGATGCAGAGGTGGATGGACATAGGGTCCTGAGGCTGACAGCCAGTCCTACCACAGACCCAAGCCAGGCATGAGGGGACAAGTATTGGAAGGTCTGTGTGTCCTAGGCTGGTGGGGCCAGGAACATTGGAGAGTCAGTTCAGGGAAGTGCAACAGGTGTCAGAGAGTGCCTTGTTGTCGTGTGTGGCCTGGAGTGAGTCATGCATGAAGTCACCACTGATACCAGCTATGCCAGTGATGAACAGTGCCAAGCCAGCTTAGACATATCCACTGTACAGGCCCATGCATGCCATCAAACAGGCCCACAGGTTTTCTGTCTTCTGCCCCTACTGCTCAAGATGCTTCTTTGGTACTTATACTTGTAGGGGTTCGTGTAGCTCTCACCAAAACTCTACCAACCTGAGGCTCCATGGTTTTCCCAGACCCCAGCACCCATCAGGATATCCCAGGGACGGTAGTCATCACATGGAAAAAAACAAGGTCCTTGGCCCTGAGCTGAGGAAAACCTAGGGTTCTGTCTCTTTGGCCTTACTTTCTGCTCCCTTGATTAACACTAGTATGTCTCTGTGTGCACACGCATGTGTGTGCGTGTGCATGTGTATATGCATGCACCTTGGACTGAAAAGGTACCTCAAAGATTCCTTTGGACCCTTATGTTATCTATGAATAGAATAAATAATATGCCTCCTAATAATGCCCTAGCATTTTAAAAATATATGTAAATGTGTGTGTGGTGAATAAAATAGAAATATTCCATTAAAGGCTTGCTGGAAGTAATAATTGCTCCCCTGACTGTGTGTATTTTTTTCATTTATTTGGACCACAGGGGTATACAGCCCAATTGTGTGGGATACAGCCCAATTGGTCATAGTTTTGATTCACGATCTCTTGTCATCATCAGCCCACACACAGCCTAACTTTATTACGCTCTTTTCCTTTATGGAGGTTTGTGTATAGCGGTGATCATAATGAGCTGGCCGCCCAATCTGGAACAGATATTACCAGTCATTCCCATATTTATCCATGCATGCCTTCCCAGAGGGAGCATTCTCCTGACTGTTGCATTTGTCACTCCCTGGCTCTTACTTTTTTTGTTGTTGTTGTTCAGTTTTTCACATGTAAGACTCTCTGAACAATTGCTTGGTTTCACACGTTTTAGTCATTGTACATTCTCCTAACTAGTGGGAACAAGATAAGAGACCACTCACATGAAGGGACTGGAGAAGCAATTTCTGCAGCCGGCAGACACGCTAACAGTTTATATGTCCACCCCAGGGCCGTGGCTAATGAGGGATGATATGTTCCCACAGCGGCTGCTAGGCAGCATCACCAACGATGCTCTGGGTGAATATTTAATGACAGGGGAAGCACTCACTCTCAGTTATTAGAGAAAAACAAGTTAGAAAGCTATGGACACAATCACAGCTCATTTCTGGTGAGAAAAAAAAACAAAGTGAGAAAACTCCCAAATCCCAAAACACAATATAAGGCTCTGTGGACGATGAACTCCCAAGGGACACAAAAACACCATCAAGATTGTTGGGCTGTGAGATAATGAGTTCTTATCATACAATTCAAAAGTTTATCCACCAATTTTTTTAATAAGTAGTGTGGATGCCTTCATCAGAAGGTGGAGACCTTAAAAATTAGGCAGGGAGGGCTGGTGTCAAAGAGGAGGACCTTCTCCCTGCGCTCAGGTTGGAGGTGGGGCATCTGCGCCATCTTTCCAAACAGAGAGGTGGGCAAAGAGGGCAGGGTGACTCAAGGGTGTCTTTGAACATCAGTGCTGCCTCAGGTGACAAAGTGCAAGAGGGACTGGGACTCCTGAAGTAAGGGACCACTGGTCCTGTCCATGTCTGCTAGACATGGCCCGCACTGTGTGTCCCGGAAGTGTGCTTCTTACATAGACTTAAACCTTATTTCTGATAGACGAAAAAACAGGGGCATGGACTGATGGTGCCCCTCCAAATTCACATGCTGAAATCCGAAGTCCCCGGGCTTCAGATCGTGGCCTTAAAGTGGGTCTGAGGTCTTTAAAGAGGTGATTCAAATAATATGAACGGTATGATGAGGGCCTTCTTAGAAGAGAAGGTGGGGCAGAGTCTCAGAGGGAAGACCTTGTGTGAGGACAGGAAAGGTCTGCAAGCCATTGAGAGAGGCCTCGGAATAACCAACCCACGCCAACACGCCCTTCCAGACTCCACAATAGGGAGAAAATGAGTTTGAATCCATCAAGCCACCCAGGATAGTGCTTTGTCACAGCAGTCCAGGAAACTCATATAGACAGGTGGCGTGCCCAAAGCCCCACAGCTGCTAGATGGAGGGGCTGGGACGAGAATGCTCTGTGGCTCTGAGAGCCGGGTTCTGAACAGCCCCACAGTAGAGATGTTAGGTGGTAGGATTTAACTCTTTGATGCCTGCCTTAGGTTGTGTTTGGATGTCCCCTTGAGCCCTGACACAGGCTCTGAGTCACAGAGCATCTTAACCCTAGTCAGCTCTCGCTGTCTGGGAGCTCACTCTGTAGACCAGGCTGGCCTCGAACTCACAGAGATCCGCCTGCCTCTGCCTCCTGAGTTCTGGGATTAAAGGCGTGCGCCACCACCGCCAGGCAGTTTACTGGTCCTTCTTTCCCGCTGTCTCTGTGAACCAGCCCTTGGAAGTCCAGGAGAGGGGGTGGGGCCCTAGAGACATCTCCCTAGTGCCCTCCGCTCAGCATCCTGCAGCACTTGACAGTGTGAATCAGCTTCAGGAAGCCCCAGAGGGTCAGACCCCAGAGCCTGGCTGCTGTTTCACAAGGCCGTACTGGGGTGAAGCCTGTAGCCACGGCAACCAGAGATGTTTTTACACCTTCCACTAGTCTTGTCTTTTGACTGAGTTTGAAAACAGAAGGGTCATCCTCTCCTTGGGCTCCCAAATACACCAGTCTAGCCAGTTGTTTTTTCTTCAGGTGCCCATGAAGGGACAGAGAACAAGAAGAGGCTTTCTAGCCAAAATCTCATCATTGATAAAGAGCCCGGGGCTCAAATGGGGAGGGATACTATGCAAAGACCATGATGAAGATGCCGAGCCAGGAGCCAGGGCTCTGTGTGCTACCTGAACCCCCTTGCTGAAGCTCCATGGCTCCTCTCAGCATCCAAGACTACTGCAGGATGGGGTGGGGGTCGGGAGGCATGCGTACCTGAAAATTTGATGGGTGTCCGGGTCCTGTGGCAGTGCTGTTCCAAAAGTGCCCACAGGGGCTGGTCCTGGGGCACCTGGCCTGGTCTGGCCACCTAGGAGAGAAGAGGTGAGGTTTAATGGCCAGGCCTGGCTGGCCATTGACAGTATATGTCTGCTCCCACCCAGTAGAGGGGCAGCTGGACAGGAGGATGCTCAAGTGCCCTTGGAACACCTCTGAGGCAGGAATCTGCACCTTCCCTTAGTCCCAAAGCTGGTTCCTCCCCCACTGGAAGAAACGCACGAAGGCCAGTGCCCTGTTCTCTATCGCCAAAGCTCCCAGAAAATACTTCCAGAGTGCCTTCTGCGTGTTAGGCCCTGTGATAACCGTTGGTGTCCCAGCCAAGGTGGACACATCCTAAGCTTACAGAGAAAACACAGGTGGGAAAGACAGGCTGCAGTTTAGCTTTTCTGTCCCAGACACATGGGAGAGACACAAAGAGAGACACATTAGGTTAATACATGGGGGAGATGAAAAAATCAGGTCCTGGAGGGTTTCCTGAAAGAGCAAGAGTTGGATGATAATGAAGGTATGAGCAGGAAAGAGAGAATAAGACTCTAGCACCAGCTCAGACTCCCATCAGGGAAATGTGACAGCGGAAATCCAACCTAGAACACAAAACCATCTAGAACCCGTCCTCCAGTGATTGCCAGGCACAGTGGATGAAACAGATGTGAGCACAATTGCCCTGAATGGGGGCATTTTCTTTTTCTTTCTCTTTCTTTCTTTCTTTCTTTCTTTCTTTCTTTCTTTCTTTCTTTCTGTCTGTCTGTCTGTCTGTCTGTCTTTCTTTCTTTCTAGATTGATTTATTTATTATGGATACAGTGTTCTGATCGCATGTAACCCTGCAGGCCAGAAGAGGTCACCAGATCTCATTACAGATGACTGTGAGTCACCATGTGGTTGCTGGGAATTGAACTCAGGACCTCTGCAGCTAGTGTTCTTACCCACCGAGTCATCTCTCCTGCTCCCCCAGGATGGGGCCATTTTCTGGTGAGAATGATGGATTAGTGAGCAGCTTTACTGAGGGAAGCTAGGATAGCAGCATGGAAGAGATCATGATGGAGTGGGTTTTGAAATACGAATAGGAGCTTGCTTAACTAATAAGGGTCCCTGCCTAAGGGAGGAGCACAGCTTGGGCAAAGGCAGAAGTAGAAGAAACACGCTGCAAAGCTCTCTAAAATCCTAACCCTTGCCTCCAGCTCCTCCCAAGACCACACTTCTCTTACCCTGCAGCTAGCCGTCAAATGCATGTTTTTGTGAGTGCATGTGTGTGTGTGTGCATGCGCGCGCACCTGCGTGTGCATGTACACTTTTGGGTTCCTGCCAGCCTGTCACTTTTGATTCCGAGGCCGCAGACGGCGTTGCTCCCTTAGCAGGCAGCTGTCTTTCTCTTGCTTGTCAGGGTTACTTTTCTGGACAGCTGGGCACATGTTTGTCCCTGGATGTCCCCACAGTCAGAACATTACATTTAGTTCACTTCCTGGGCTGGGGCTGAAGGCTGAGCACTTGGTCTCCCTGCACTGGCTTGGAGTTGCTGATGAATAACCCACCACTCAGAGGGGGAGCTAGTGCCCATATCGCTTACTGGAACTTTGAGGACAGCCCTGGGTGCCCAGAGAAATTTGGGGCAAGGGCAGGGGAAAGTGTGTGTGTGTGTGTGTGTGTGTGTGGTGTGTGTAGCATCTAGCCAGGCCTTCCTGGAGGGTCAGGCTCCCAGGGAGCCCCAGACTGCAGAGGCAGTGGAAATCCAGAGGCTTGCAGCATGCCTAGCCAGACTGTACACCTCAGATGCCACTTCTCCTTCGCAGAGATCCCACCACAGTGTTTGTGGGCTCAGGTGTTGCCTTCTGCAGCTTGCTTTGAGGCCACAGGGTGGGTTAGGGCGAGGTTCTCAGTACTCAGGTGATGTGGGTTTTAACTCGTCTCAGATGTTTGGTCCCAGGCTGTGCCAGGTCTCTTGCTAAGCAAAACACATTGTTGGAGGTGGGCACAGGGGTGTTGTGCTCAGTACAGGGGCACATTGTTCTACCTTGGGCAAGAAGCTTTGAAATCTTCCCACACCTTGGCTCGGTCTCTCCTAACTCCTCCTTCTATGGGTCCAAAACCTGGCAGAGCTAAGAATCTTCTCTCTTTATTTTTCCAGGATCTGCCTGATTACATTTGACGAAGTTCAAGCCCACAGTACACCCTGCAGGTACCTATTTTGAGCAGAACCCCTGGTGGCAGTTGAGATTGTGGATGAGCAAGGAAAGGGCAGCATTGTGGGTAGTATGAATGGAGCTTCAGACACCCCCACATTCAGTCTGCTAGGGGAATATTGCTTCACTACTGGGTGGTCTTGGCAAAGCTGCAGAACCTCTTTGAGCCTTAATCTTCACATCTCTTCAATGGGCACAGCTCCTGAAAACATGACCTCCACCTCCTTCAACAGGCTCAGCCTCCGTACCAGTGAATGGCTGTCCCATCGTATCAAGACACCCAAGGCTCTGGGAAGCCTGCACTGAAAGCTGAATCCAAAGGGGAGATGAGTGGGGGGGGGGGTATCAGGATGAACACTGAGAAAAGGGGTGACCCCATGAAGCAAATGAACGCAGGCTTAAGGAAGCCAGCTAAACCTGGTTAGAGATGCTGTTGGGGGATGGGAGGGCCCTGGTGAGAGAAGGATGTAGGCCAGCAGCACCTGGTTTGGGAATGCTGTTGAGGGGGCAGGAGGCAGTGGGGGATAGCCACTTTTCTGCGTACTGCTTGCTGTGTGCTGGGCACAGCTCTAAACTCAAGCCAGGAAGACAGCTCATTTGCTCCTTGCCAGAGCTTCTGAAGGAGCTGCGAATAACCCTACTTCACAGAAGCCAAGGCCACACAGCAGGTAAGAGCCCAGGGCAATATCCCAGCCCAGACAATCAGATGATCTGTGTATGCCTGGTCTTATTACACATAGAAAGAGTGGCCCTATGTAAGGATGTCACTCGAGATCTACAGAGACCAACAGGACATTAGCCCAAATGTGGCACTCAGTAGCCCCAGAAGTAAGAAGCCCCCTCGCCGGCCACATAAGAGCAGAGTGGAAGGTGGGGAGACCTCACAGAGAGCTGGGTGTACAGGAGGCAGGTGCATCCCGCTCGGGTCAGAGTGCCAAGTTAGGAGATGAGAAATTCACAGTGTGATATCAGCAGATAGAAAGGAGCCTCTACTTGGCCTTATTCCCTGGTCCGCTGTGACATGGAGCTCCTGAAGCCCCTGTGACTTCTCAAGTGGTAGGTGTCCTTTCTCCCTTCCTCTACATCAACCAGCACCTGGAACAGATGTTTTCCTGAGTTCTTGAGCTGTCCTAGTTCAGTACTGGACTCAAAGAAGGGTCATAGGGCCCAGATTGCCTACAGGTTGAAGCCTGGGAGCCTGAATATATGCAGCTGTTACCGGAGAGGCCAGCTAAGCCCTCAGTGAAGGCTCTGTGCCACACACACACAGGCGGCATCGTCCAGGGGGCGTACAGGGACCCAGAGACCCGCCCTGTGTGCAGAGAACAGCCTTTGCTTTCTTTGGCCTTCGCCCTCTATTCTGAGCAGCCAGCTTTGGCTTCTATACTATTCTTGGCTAGCCTGGAACCAGACAGCTGCCTTCATTCTCACCTCTACTACAGGAGTTCCACTGTAGGTCAGGGTCCACATCTGTACCCAAAGTTCCTAACTACGCCCTGGTACATAGCAAGTGCTCAACAAATGTTTGCGGACTGGCTGACTGAGTGACTGGATGGATGGATGGATGGATGGATGGATGGATGGATGGATGGATGGATGGATGAGCCCTGTTACCTGGACTAAGCAGGGTCAATACCATGCCTAGTTCTAGGAGCTTGAGCTCTGAGCTTTTGTTGTTTCTCAGATTGCCTTTGCTTTGATGTTTCCTCAGAGGTTAGCCTGTGGGGCCCATTTCCTGTCTCTAGGATGTGCCTTCATTGAAGAAGGCAGAGGAGGTCCTGGCAGGGAAGGAGGCAAGAGGCCAGAGCCAAGGCTCCAGCTGCTCTTGCTTTACCTGGTCCCTATCCAAGCAGAACCTGTGCCCTAGGGGCCACCTCACAGGAGCCAGGGGGTCTGGCTGGACGGACTCCTCCTCCTGGGTCTGGTGACATGGTCCCTCTAAATTTAGGCCTCTGCCTAAGCGTGGCAGATTTGTGGACCTTGAGTCTTGGACCTGCAACCAGGAATCGGCCCCTCCCTGCCTCTTCTCTCTGCTGTCCAAGGTCAGGGAAGGAACTGTGGAGGGAAAGGTCCTCCCACTATCTGGTTCGTTCAGTGTGTCCAGGGAACTGTGCTCAGGGAGGCAGTCAGGGAAGAGAAGAGGGAAAGGAGGAAGGAGGATGGGGAGCGGACAGGGAAAGAGGAGGAGGGCAGGGTGGGCAGGAAGGGGGAAAGGAGGAGAGAAAAAGAAAGAGAGAAGACAGGGTAGGGAATAAGTGAGAGAGAAATGAGGAAGGGGAGGAGGACAAAGAGGAAGAGAAAGAGGAGGAGGGGGGAGGAGAATGAGTTTGGGTTCTACTGGGAATTCAGGGGAGGCAGTGATGGAGCTATGTGTCCTAAGGATGGGACTCGACATTTATGGAGAGGTCACGGCTTTCCGCAGCATTGGGGCCAGCAATCTTAGCGAGGGACTCTTAGTGCTCAAATATAACTTACAGGATGAGAGACTTCAAGTAAGGTGGTCTTCTCACGCCCGCAGTTCTGCCAGCGGGCCCCTTGGTGAGCCCCTCTTCCTAAGATATCTCCTTCCAAGTCCCTAGTCACCTGCCAGGTGGGGGCTCTGGCCTCCTCGCTCCGCTCTGCTCTCTGAGAGCTGCGGAGGGTCTTTCTCCCATCCTGTCCCTCTTTCTCACCAGGTCCCTGGCCCAGAAGGGGTGGTGGCAGAAGGCAGGAGTTCTTTGCTGTTGTGTGGAGGGAGCTGGCCAGCAGGAGGACTTAGGACAGTGCTTGGTCTAAAAGGACTCTCCCTATTTATCAACTTACCTAGTGTCCACTTGGTCTAATAGTCACCTCTGACCCACAGCGTCAGTCTGAATGTCATAAAAATAGCCTGACATTAATATCTAGGTTTTGTTAAGGCATCAGAGTCAACAGTGTATGTAGGATTCTGCTCTGCCCTTCACCAACAGTGATGTTGAACCCGGACCTCCCTCCTCAACTGATGGATGGGGACAGGAGGGTCTTAGGTCTGGTTCCCTGTGCTGCCTTGGAGCTTGAAGCAGGACCCCCACGTGTTCAGCACAGGCCAGCTGCACAGGAAAACCAGCAAAATCAGGGCGTGTGGAGGCCGCCCTCCCCACTCCGTGCATCTAAGGCGCCCTCCTCAGAAGTTAGACTTTTGAATAGGCACACCAGACCCGCTGTTTCCGATCAGAGGGAGTAAATGCAGAGGACACAGCATTCTAGAGCCACAAAGTCAGGGCGTCCGACTTCTGCGGAACTCAGCAGGCAGTGCCCGCAGACAAATTGCTTAAAAAAATACTTAAACACTGGCAAAATGGCAAAACCAGAGACTAAATTAGCTGATTAGGTTAGAAAACACTCAGAAGGGAGTTATGTTTTTGGTGGAAAGTCATTAGATGACCGAGCTTCTGGGAAATGGCCTTGTGTATGCTGCACTCTTGGCAAGGGGTGGCGAGGGGGAGATACAGACTGCAGGCATGAACCCAATTTTGGGAAGGGATGGAGTGGATTATGTAGGTTCAGCTTTCTGCAGCTTTTTGGACATAGACTTCTCTGTGTCTCCTCCCTTTGTTGGGCCTTCTCTGGACAAAAGCCAGCAGTGCCTGGGCCAAAGGTCCCGGCTGAGCGCGGCCAGCCTCCTGGGGCTTTTACACAGGTTAGATGGAATACATGGCAGCTAGGGTGTCTTTATTTGACACACTTGGGACAATAAATGTTTCAGGCTTAGGAATTTCCCCAGAATTTGGAATATTTATATGGACTTCACTAGTTGGACCTCCATAATCCCCAAATTTGAAATCCCAAATGGAAAATTTACTTAAAAAGCTTGGGATTTTGGAGCACTTCATTTAGTGTTCTTGCCGTGCCTGAACCACCAGCCTGGGGACCAGCATGGGACCTGGCCTGCAGGATGCATCGTTTCTCTGAGGCCCCCAGAGCGCCCCCCCTGTGGGGAGTAAGCTGGAAACCCTAGTTTAAGACTGGCTATAGCTTTAGGCTCTGGAAGAGCCAGCAGGGAGAGGAAAATTCCTCTTTCTCCTCTGCTGACCTCTCTCCTGCAAATCAGACCCAGCCCCAATTCTGTTTAGAAGTCTCCCTAAGCATCTGGGACAAAGATCTGTTCCAGAGGTAAAGTCCCTAGGCCTGGCCCCTGGAAGCCTCCCCAGCCCCCCTTCCATACCCGCCACAGGCTGCTGATCCGCCTCCTCCCCGCAGACTTCTCTACTCCCTGCCAGGGTCTCTCACACCTTTTATCTCTTTCTGCAGACCCAATTTACAAAGGTTATAAATACACACGATTTCTTTGCTATTCCTCCTGCCGGGCCCTTTCTGGCTGTGAACACACCAGGACAGGAGCCCGGGGTGGCTTTCCACAGCTGCACCCTTAGTGAGTGGGTACTTATTAAGTCCAAATCGGCTAAGTGACAGAGCTACGTTCCTCCCGCTGCTTTTCCTCCACACCGCTGCCTGGCTCTCAAGCTCTCATGTCCCTGGGGGCTGGAATCTCAGAATATTTGGCAAAGGATCCAGAAATCAATCCTATTGCCTGGGGCAAGGAAGGACTTGGGGGTCAGAAAGATCTGGGTGTATTTACGCTCCATGTGCTGGTGTGCTGAGTAACTTCGGGCACTAATTTCTGTCTCAGGGGAGGGGCTGGTGTCCAGGGATGTTGAATATCATGGCCCATACCTCTGTCTGGCACCCACCTTTTCGCCCTGGCCAGGCCTCAAGGAGGACAGGGCCCTGATGTTCTCACACCGGACACCCACATCTAGAGTTTTCTCCACACAGGCGCAGCACCTCTAGGCTTGACTTGTGTCCTCTCAGTTGTTTTTAGGAGAACCCTACTGAGGATGCATCTTCCTTTTCCCGATGAGGACACTGAGGCTGGGCGAGTTTGAGGAGCCTGCCCCAGGTGGCAAAAGTCACCCTGCCCCAGCTAGCAGACACTTACTAGGTGTCTATGGAACCACTGTCTAGTGCATCAGTCCTGGCACACCTGGGGATGCTGAGACACTGTCCCTGAGACTACTTCAGGGCATGCAGGACTTCTAGCTTGGCTCTGTCCCTTGGAATCATTTGAATATAGTTTTTTTCTTCATGAGAAGCGTGGCCCCAGGAAGGTCACCTTGCTCTCTGAGCCTTGGTTTCCCTGTATATAAAATGAGAAGAAGTTGGAGGTGGATTGCTTCCATGCCTGCGTCTGGTGGCCTCCCCTTCCTGAGCTCTTTCCTTTCAGCTGCCCACAGGCCTTTACACCAGCTCCTCAGACAGCAGGTTTTCTCCTGGCCCTCCGGCTCACGGCTCATTTGGTTCTGGGGATTAGCAGAGGTGGGGGTGGGCAGAAGTGAATGGGGGTGCTTTCTGGTGACCTGCTGGGCAAAGAGTGGAGAAGAGAACTGGGAATCACCAGAAGAGGCAGAAGGGGCTGTGGGGGAGGGGAGGCGGGGCATGGGAGAGAAAACTGCTAACCGCCGAGAACTGGTCTGCACTTGATGCTGTCCCCTCAGAGCACCATGTTCATCCACACAGGACTTCCTCTTACCTTAACTGACTTACTCTCCTTGTTCCTTTTCCTGGCCCTTCTGGGTATGAGACTCTGTCTCATTGTCAGAGACATGGATCCCCAGTGCTACCCAGCCACCAAGTCCTGGGACTCCCTTCCAACTCTCTGCCACCTAGCTGGGGGCTCCCTCCTGTTCTGATGCCCCCAGCTCACCCACTCATCCACTTACCTGGAGCAGTGGGATCAAGCAAAGCAGGCAGAGGAGCTGTGTACTGGGAAGACAGCCGGGAGCCCCCATGGGACACCAGACACTGCCACTAGGGGTTGGGGACCGGAAGAGGCTGCTTCTGAAAAGTCTGCCGGGTCCCTCCCCAAGGCCTATCCTTCCTTGCCGGACCTACCGGCCAAGGTAAAGCCTGGGCACCAGGGCATTCTTCACCAGCCTGCCCCAGAGTTGCAGTGACACCACCCCACAGCCAGCCGCCTCCAGGTTATTTATAGCTGGCTCTGGGCAGCAACTTCTGCAGGCGTCCTGGGGACTAACTCCAGTTCCCAGAGCAGGGCTTAATGTGCATGGTCTTCCCACTAGTATTGCCAGGGCTGTAGCTTCTCAGAGCCAGGAGACAGGAATAGAGAGGTAGGATGGGCCTAAGGATTTGTGGGGGTACCCCGAGGTCTGGCCCAGCACTCTCCACTGGTTTGAGAGGTCCCAATTACCCAGGGAGCTTCAAACTGGCCTACAAGCCTGGAGGAGCATGGAGATCAGCATGTTGGTGTAGCACATACAGGGAAAGGTCTGGACAAATGGATGTGGGTGGGATTTAATCACAGCACAACTTTTCTGTGCATTGGAAATCATATCAACACCAAGACACTCAAAAGAAAAAGTAACAGAAGCAATGAGAGCGAGTTGGGGAAGGATTTGCATCTCAGAGATTTGGAAAGGGATCCAGAGTCCTGAAACCAGGTAGAGCTGATCATCTCTGCTGTCATTGGTGACAGGTGAGGATCTTGGGAGCACAGGCAATGCTCCTGGTAAGTGGGCCTTTTGTGCATGGGTTAAAAGCTTAATCTTGGGCTCTGAGGGGGAAAGCATTTCAGGAATGTGATTAAGAGGTAGGTCCAGACTTTTCCTGGAGGTGCAGCAGCCAACCAGTAGAAGCTGTGGAGAACTCAACCCAGGTTCAAGACACTCAGGCACTCCATGTGTCCTTTGGTCTTTCCCTCTGGGCAGGTTTCTCCCTTGCTCCTGCTGGGCCTCAGCTCCCTCCCTCCTCGCAGGGCCTCAGTGAGAACTGCTGCCTCTCACCAGTTGCTGACTGTTCTCTGATTTCCCTGCCTGGATGAGAGGGGCCTTCCCTTTCTGTCTCCTCTCCCCTCTTCTCTCCCTTTTGGCAAAAACTTGACCCTATGGTTGGTGCAAGTGAATCTTTGTGGGAAAGCTGAGGAAGAACGGACCAGATTTCTTGTTCATTTTGGAGATGATAGGAAGTAGGGGAGGCTACTTCTTTCCCAACCCCTAGACAGGAAGAGGCTTTACTGGTCTCAGGCAAATGGCCTTGGTGAGAGAGGGCCCTTGTAGGAGGTAAGTGCTAGGCTCTGAGAGAGTTGACCAGCAGGAGTGTGCAGTTTTGTTGAGTCCACTTTGCAGAGGTGCCTGGGACCTACCTCTCACAGTGAGTGACAAGATCAAAGAGGATTTCCTCAGGACAAACACCACAACCTCCAGGGGAAGGGAAGGAGAAGGGGTAGGGAGGGAAAGGGGAAGAGAGAGGGGCTTAGAGAAGGAGTGAGGCAGAAAAATTAGGGAGATGAAGGGAAGGCATTGCAGGAGCTCTGGGCAGCTCGTGGGGTGAGTTGGGGACCTCCTGGGAAGTGATACAGGCATGCATTGACAGACTTAGGACAATGGAAAAGGGGGAGAACTCCAGTCATTTGGAGGAATCAAGGTGAGCTGTAGGCCGGAGCTGGGCCGCAGTAGGACAGCTAGAACATGGCTAGAGTCTAGCTGAGGTAAGGATGGAGTGGCCCAGAGCGGGAGACAGGCTGGTGTTGTGGTACTCAGCACACATTCCTTCCTGGCAGGTCTGCCTTGGCCGCTTGGTTGCTAGAGCACAATGCCACATGCTGGGTGGTTCATCAGCAGATGGGCCTTCAGGGCTCCCAGGGCTGGGGAATCTGAGATGTGATTGCCCGTGCTGTCAGTCCCAAAGAGGGTCTTCTTGATTCGTAAATGACCGCCTTCTGGTGTCTTCTCTTCTAATAAGAGGGAGAGTCCTCTCTTGGGACCACATCCTCACAACTTCACCTAACCTGAAAACCTCTCAAAGGTCCCACTTCAAGGATATTGGAGTAGAATAAATCCGTGAATATGGGGGAGGGGCATCCACGTTCAGTCCTTAGCAGTGTCCCTGTTTAAGCTTTCCTGCATTTCCAAATACGTGTCCACACCCAGCCTGGATCACTGTTTGACAAACTGCCTTAAAAAAAGCCACGAGATTTGCTTTCTAACCAGTTAGAATCCCCAAGTATCCAGCAGTGTGTCCCTTTCCAACCACCAGGGCAGCCTTAGCATCACTGACAAAAGACCCTTTGCCTAGAGGAATTGTTGACTCTCCAGAGCCCCCCAGGAGACCAGGCTGAAGTTGCCTCAGATCTTTCTATTGGCTGTCCTGTGTCATCCATCACCTCTGTTTATTTAATTGCTTCTTTTATTTTTTTGAGGTTATAATGCAGTCACATCATTTCTCCTCTCCCTCTTCCCCTTCAAACCCTACACCATACCTCATCATGGTCTCTTTCAAAATCATGGCCAATTTTCCATCAACTGTTGTCACATACATATATATTCTTAAATACATAAGTGTAACCTGCTCAGTCTGTATAATGTTGTTTTTATGTATATGTTTTCAGGGCTGACATTTGGTATTGCATAACCAATCAGTGTCTGGGGAAGACCATTTATCCTGCTCTCAGCATTCCCTAGTTGCCGGTAGTCCTTTGTGTAGGGTTGGAGCCTCCTGGTCCTTCCCTCACCCACTTTAGGATGCCTTTTGTAGTTGTCATTGTTCAGCTCAGGTTTAGGCAGTTATGCTGGTGAGGCTTTATGGGTGTAATATTGACATTAGTAGGAGGCACAGCCACAGAGCAAACTTCCTGATTCTCTGGCTCACAAAATCTTTTGGCTCCCTAGACCATAATGTTCCCTGAGACTTAGGTATAGGAGTTGATTTGTAGATGTATCTGTTGGTACTGGGCTCCAAAACTCTGCATTTTGATTGGTTGTGGTTTTCTGTAATGGTCTCTGTCTTAGTTAGGGTTTCTATTGCTGCAGTGAAACACCAAGAACAAAAAGCAAGTTGGGGAGGAAAGGGTTTATTTGGCTTGCATTTCCAGATCATAGTCCATCATTGGAGGAAGTCAGAACAGGAACTCAGGCAGGGCAGAAACCTGGAGGCAGGAGCTAATGCAGAAGCCATGGAGAGGCGTGGCTTTCTGGCTAGCTCATATGGCTTGCTCAGCCTACTTTTTTTCTTTCTTTTTTTTTTTTTTTGGTTTTTACGAGACAGGGTTTCTTTATATTGTTTTGGAGGCTGTCGGTCCAGCCTGGCCTCGAACTCACAGAGATCCGCCTGCCTCTGCCTCCCGAGTGCTGGGATTAAAGGCGTGCGCCACCACCGCCCGGCCGCTCAGCCTGCTTTCTTAGAGAACCCAGGACCAGCAGCCCAGGGATGGCACCGCCCACCACCGGCTAGGCCCTCCCCCGTTGATCTTTAATTGAGAAAATGCCCTACAGCTGTATCTCATGGAACCATGTCCTCTACCGAGGTTCCTTCCTCTCTGATGACTCTAGCTTGTGTCAAGTTGACACAAAAACTGACCAGCACAGTCTCAGTCTGTTGCACAGAGAAACTTCCTTAATGAAGGATGAAGGCCACACTTATCCGTGGGTATAATGACAAATATTTAGAATGTAGTTAGGGATTATGTTGGTTAAGTAAAGTGGTGGTTGTAGGTTCACCTTCAAGATCCATGACGTCACTAACCCTGGGGAGTTGGCTAGGTTTCCAGGACTAGGCATGGTTTTCCTCTTGTTCAGCAGACTTACTTAGAGAGATGTTGGTTATCACCAAGGTATGTGTACCACTACTGCACCTTT